TTCTGAAATTCTATTCTGCATATAGCTATCTATACGGAAAAGTATCTATTGTTCATTAACTGGAAAAGCAGGCAGGGCTTAGGATCTGTAATATCTTGGAAGAAGTAAGTACATATTCCAGAGAACTTTAAGAAAGTTACAGATTTTTAGAGCCTTTAAGGATACCAGCCAGGGCCTCCCTGGTGGTGCAACTGGTTAAAGCACAGCACTATGAAGCTATCCACAGCTACTGTGGCACTATTAAGCTATTGGCAGCACTTGATATATCTCAGTGCTATCACGATATGGCTAGCCACTGTGGCATGAGTTCCATCCCTGATGGGAGCTACCCATATGGCACAGCAGACTTCTCCTGTCTTGCCAGCTGTATCCTTTAGTGTTCTATTTCAGTAAATCTGCCTGTTCTACTCCCAACTCCATCTCTTCCCCTGAACCTCTGGCCAACACCCCAGTTTTTTTTTTTTTTAAATAATATAACAGTTTATTTATTTTTTAATAATATAACAGTTTATTTTTACATCATTTTGTACACTTTTTTGTTTTTATCTCAATTGTAATCCCCGTGGGCTTCCCATCACCGATCACCTGTGTACCATCACCATAGTCCCGTGTACTTCCCTCCCCACCTGCCCCCCCACCCCGTTTTTGATCCCATTCCCCACTCCACCCCCACAAAATGTCTCTGGTATATGGGCTGTTCATTGTTCTTATTATTTTCTTGCCTGGTCCATTATACTCCTACTATGAGCAAAAACATCCGGTATTTTTTTTCTCTTTCTGGCTTATCTCACTAAGCATGATCTTTTCCAGATCCATCCAAGTTGCTACAAAAGACATGCAACACCCCAGTTCTTTTATGAGTAAATAAAAATAGATTTAAAAAAAAAAAAAAGACCCTCCCTGGTGGCACAGTGGGTTAAAGCACAGCACTAAGAAGCTAAAGCCACTTCAGCATGAGTTCAATCCCTGCCTGCCCCGTAGGTGACCACATGGCACGGCAGACCTCTCCTGACCCGCCCGCTGCTCCCCTCAGCAGTATACTTCGTCGATCTGCCTGTTCTGCTCCCTACTCTGTCTCTGGTGAACCCTCTCACCCTCCTCATCCCTGGCCTGTACCCCAGTTCTATATGAATAAAATCTTAAAAAAAAAAAAAAATACCAGCCAGTTAACACATTTTGGGGACTGATAATACCAATTTTTTTTTAGAAAATTCTAAACAAATTAAAATGGTAACAGCCAATTAGTCTCTCGCTCTCTTTTTGTTGCACAAAATCTTCAAGAATGGTTTGAATTTATTATTTTTTAACAAATATTTTTTAAGATGTATTTATTTATTTATGCATACAGAACTGAGGCACAGGCCAGAGGTGCAGGGGTGGTGAGAGGATTCACCAGAGACAGAGTGGGGAGCAGACCAGGCAGATTGATGAAGAGGAGCAGGGGCAGGTCAGGAAAGGTCTGCCACCCCATGTGGATCACCTGTGGGGCGGGGATCAAACTCATGCTGAAGTAGCTTTGGCTTCATAGTGCTGTGCTTTAACCTGCTGCACCACCAGGGAGGGTCCATTACAATAAATTTCTAACCTCCTCAGCAAAAATTAATTACAGAGTCATCACTTCTATAGTTCTAATACATGCTTTTTCTTTATTGAGATAACATACTGGCTTACAACACCGTACAATTTAGGGGAATAGTTTCATACCTCCTCGTATATGTTACCAGACCACTCCTAAGGTGTTACCCTTTTTTATGGTTCTTTAGAAATAAGTGTTATTCAGTTCCTGAGCTGACATGTATACTGTGTATTTTATACAAAGCACCTAGACTAAAAACTGGAACAATCAAACAACTAGGAGATCCATTTGCTCATATAGGAAATAACCAACAGATGTAAAATATACATAGTTTAAATCCATAGCTTAATTTTTTTGTGTGCGAATTTAATAATAATAAACCACTTCTTTTTCCCTTTAGAATTATCAAAATTTGGCCCTCCCTGGTGGTGTAACAGATTAAAGAACAGCACTATGAAGCTATCTGCAGCCACTGAAGCACAAATTTGATTCCTGGCCAGCAAAGTGACCCACATGGCGTGGCAGACCTCTCCTGACCTGCCTGCTGCTCCCCTTAGCAGTGTGTTTCAGTCAATCTGCCTGTTCTGCTCCCCACTGTGTCTCTGGTGAATCTTCTTACCCCTTGCCCCCTGCACCTCTGGCCTGTACTCCAGTTACTATATGCATTAATAAATCCTTTTAAAAAATGATCAAAATTCACTTTAGAAAATATCACGATTGAAAATAAAAGCCTTCAAAATTATTTTGTTGCTTTCCCTTTACTAGGTCAAGATTCTGAGATTTAATTTAAGAAGACTTCGAAATTTGTAAGTATTAATTGCGCTGTTAAATAGGCCTGAATTAGAATCTTAGATTCTCCAATATTTGGTTCTATAGTCTTGGGTAACTAGTTAAATTCTTTTCAAGACGGTCAGAAGAATACCATTGCTAAAGTGAGAATAGTGCTAATCCAAATTGTTACTATGAGAGCTAAAATGAGTTAACACCTAGCAGAGTTCTACCCTTAGTGACTCAGTAATTATTACTTTTCTCTCTATTCCCCTACAACTATCCCTTCTATGCCCATCCCTTTATCTCCCACCTTAACCTCAGACTCCTCAATGTTTATTAATGTCCTCTAGTTTATGTTTTTTAAAAGATTTTATTTTTTGTGGAGAACTGGGGTATAGGCCAGAAGTGTGGGGGTGAGAGGACTCACCAGAGACAGAGTGGGGAGCACAAAAGGCAGATTTACTGAAATACACTGTTAAAGGGAGCAGTAGGTAAGATAGGAGAGTTCTGCTGTGTTATATGTGGGTTAGCAACTTGGCCTGATTGAACTCAGGCCACTGTGGTCGGCCATCAAGGTGACAGTGCTAAGCCACTAGGGAGGACCTGTCCCCTAGTTTTTCTATTTCACTTTACCAAACTGTCCACTATGTAAATGTCCAGTATCTATTTTTGTCATTCTGACTGCTTCACTACACATAATGCACTCAAACTGCCCTCTCCACCCATTTTGCTGTAAGTTGGCTGCATTTCATTGTTTCTATATTTAAGGTGATTATACTTAAACATGGAGGTCTGGAACAACAACTACAAAAAACTAATGGGCTAGGAGTCAGAGCAGTGGGAAAATGGGGTGGGAGAGAAGGAACGTGTGATAAAGCACACAAAAGGAGTTTCTGGCAAGAGGAAATGCTTTGCATCTTTACAGGGTCTGAGTTAACTCATACAGGTATATACAGTTGTCAGAACTCACTGAACAGGACACATTAGAATTTAGTTTCACTATGTGTAAATTATACCTCAATGTTTAAAGGTAGCTTAAAAAGTATTGTGCTATTTTAAAAATGCAATTTATACACAATAAAAATTACTTTTAAATGTTTATGGAACTTGAAATGTAGTTTCTTGGTCAGGAGAGTCAAAAAAGTTTTCCTAAATTGGAAAGAATGGGAAGCAAAGTATGTAATACTTTGAGCCAAACCACTCAAGTGTTGAATCAATGGCACTGTAGAAAATTCACTGTTATCAGGGCAAAATATATTAAGGTGTCAGAAATACACTGCTAATATTGTAAGATGTTTAATCAATGTTTCTAAAAAATCTACAGTGGTAATATGAAAGCTGAACCAAAAACTCATGTTCTGGAAAATCACTTTCCTAATGTTATCAAACAATACTTGATTTAATTTTCCACATCATTTCTGCTGAGGTTGGTTCATGAATTTGGTTCATTTCTGCCATTTATCTCCCTTCTTGTGGCACACGCTGGCATAAGAGGTAATGCACGAATGTTAAAATCAGAAGATCTGATTATGAAAAGTGCTCAAGGAGAGACAAAGAGGAGTTGCCCTTTCCCATTTAAGGCTGCCTCCTCCTTCCCACGGTGCTACCGCATACATAACATCTCAGCCATTACCAAGCAATTACAATCTGTTCACTCGGTGAGTTCTTCCGAGGCACAAGGTACACATCTCATTCAAGATCTTTGTGGACAAGCTCGGATATTGTGGTAATTCTTCAGATGACCTTGCTTATGAGATCAGGAAAAAGGACCTAAGAAGGACGCCAGGACTTCTCTCTCCAAAAGTGAAGGCGTGTTCACTGAAAATGTGGCCCAGGACCAAAGAAGTAAGAAAGTTTCTATTTTAATAGTGTCTTTTTTTTTAGTAATAAAAGCAAGATAGCTGCTTTTATTACTAAATTCTACCTTGTACTTTGCCTTGGAATCAAACACCTGAGTTTGAAGATCAGTTCTGCAACTATTTTATTTATTAGATATGTGCTCTGGGGCAAGTTACTTTACCATTCTGAGTTTTGTTTTCTGTTGAGGAATGTTAACATAAATGTCTCATACTGCAAAGACTAATGTGTAACAATTAAATGAAAACAAAAATCATATTTTAAATTCAGTGGCTGGCACAATGTAGGTGCTTAACAAATGATAGCTGCCACTATACAGTTCCAGTCCTCAAAAGCATTAAGTGATATAGGTCCTGGCTATAGCCCTCTGTATCCAAACCACCAGGACATTCAAACCACGGCTTTTGGCAATTAACATAAAAGGGTAGCACACCATAATTCTAAAGTCTGACCAAAAAAAAAAAAAAAAATCCATCTCAGAAATTTCAGCAATCAAGCATAGATAAGGTCACAGGAAAAAAAGCTAAAAGGGATGCATATACACATATTAAAAAATTACGTAAGAATTCAAGCTTCACAGATTAAAAATGGAAATTTCCTTGCTAAGCAGACACACTCCATATTTCCCTGTCACACCATGGATTTATCTTAGATCCATCACAGCTAAGAGTGATATGGACATAGATGGGCAAGTTATTCCTGACCACAAATTATTGGTTTATGATATAGGCACAGACATATGTATTCACCTTTAAAAATAGTTCAAATGGTACATCACATAATATAAAATATTTACCTGTTTCTCTTCATCTGGCATGTTTTTTTCCAGTTCCATTAAGTATTCTTCATCCAGTTCAGAGGGTGTCACATCATCATCAGGCTTGTTCTCAGCTTTGTCCAGTCCTGGCTCTTCCTCTTCCTCAAACGAGGACCGACAGGCATGGAAGCACTCCTCTTCTTCCTGGTCTTCGAGGGGGTGGGCTTCAGCATTCTCCAGCAGCTGGCTCTGAGACTGGTCATTTTGGGGATTAGAAACTGCAGGGTGAGCTCCTGCTGCTTCCTGCGAATTTGTAACTTTCAAACCATTGAACAGGTCGTTTGGAACACTATAGTTCTCCGACTTCTCCCCCATGCTGAATCAGTGAGGGGGGTGGAGCTGAAGCTCTGGGAGAAGAGAAAACATGTTAGGCAATGGAACTTACATTTATTAAATCAAATTTTATGGATTTGTTACTTGCTTACAAAACTATAACTCTGGAAGTACACTTTGTACTTTACACAGGTGTAAAGTGCTGAGGCCCGTGTCCAGACCTTGATGTCCTTCCTTGCAACAGCGAAGCTAATTTGAAGGAGAAATTGGTATGGGGATAAAACAACCTGATAATGCAGAACCTTGGTGGTCAATGTGTGCCAGATGAATGCGGAATACCAAGAAAATAAATCACTGTCTTGTAACTAACCTAAAAGGGAGGGGGGCATCTTGTCTCAATAAAAACAAGTTGCACCGGCTCAGGGCACTTGAGCTTGGACTGTGAAGGTTTGTGTCACCTGGGTCCTGCTTCTCTAAACTCTGTCGATTCTTTGTTTCTCAGATCTCTTGGATTCCTCTCCTCAATCCTGTTCACCAGAGCTGGTCTCCAGCAACACTTCATACCTCAGTATGTGCATACCCCTCACCCTCCACCAAAGCTCCAGTGCTGCTACACTATCATATCACAACCCCCAATAACCACCATTATTTACACAAGCCTAAGAGTTATTTTTGTTAGTCTGTTGTGTTTTGCCACTCATTTTTTCCTGCATATGAATGCAACCACCCTGTAATTTTCTTTCCCCTTCTGACTTATTTCTCTTTACACAGCTACTTCAAATTCCATTAGTACTGTCACAAAAGGCACTTGTTCCTATGTTTAAAAAAAAGTTCTAAGGGATCTCATTGCTGGAGCAGGGGTTAAGTCTCAGTGCTATGTGGCTATTTGCAGCCACTGCAGGGTGAGTTCCATTCCCAGCCAGGGAGCTGACCGACATGGCACAGTACACCTCACATGTCTCCACCTACTGCTGCTCCCCTCAGCATTGCATTTCAGTAGATCTGCCTACTGTTCTGCTCCCTACTCTGTTTCTGGTGACTGCTCTCAACAACCCTCCCTCCTCACCTCTGGCATACACCCCAGTTATTGTATGCATAAAAAAAATCTTAAAAAAAAAAGTTCTGCCTATCACACCTAAATAAACTTCTGCATCAAAACCCAAAATACACTCTAACTTCCTTGGAATCCAGCATTTTAAAAATCAAGTTAAACCCATAAATAATGCCAAGTCATTTTCAGAATCTCTTATAAGCAACAAAAGCAATGTTAATATGCATAACTCTTCCACCTCCCACTACATTTTTGTTTTGTTAAGACAGTGAAAAATAAGGTAGAAGCCAGAACACTGGCAAGGCCCTCATATTTGTTTAGAATGAATAGTCAGGTCGTGGTAAGCAAGTACTTCCCAGCACAACCACCGAAGCCCAAGAATAAGTTTCTGGTGGAGCTCAAGCTGCAATCCGTGCCACGAGTGATCAACTTCCCCCAGCTGCGCGCTGCAGGGCCCAAAGGTTTTAATGGGCAGGGCGCAGGTGATCCTAACCAGGATGCCCGTGGGGGTTCAGACCAAACACTACCGACTTTTGATCAACCCTAGCGGACCCCAAACTCTGGGACGCTTTGGCAGATACTGGTGCCCCCTACTTTTAATCCTCCAGATTCTGGTTTACAGGTCTGGCGTCGGGCCGGGTTATCTGTATTTTAAGAGTCACTTCAGATGATTTCACTGTGCAGCCAATTGAGAAACACTGTCGTAGTCGCTGAGTCAGGCCGTCAGGAGCCCCGGCCTTCTGCTCGAGGTCGCGCCAACGACCCGTGTGGTGACAGAAGTCCGAATTCTCCCTAATTCCGTCCCAGAAATTTAAAATTACTGGTCCTTCGCCTTCAGAGCAGTGTTTTGTTTCTCCCCGCCCGAAGGCATTTGCGACTGCAGGCTTAAGGAGATGCCACCCCGCTCCCAAGAACTGTCCCCTCGCTGCGTCCCTCACCGAAAAGAGGACAGACCCAGACAGCTTACTCACAGCTTCCCTGCCCCCTCGCGTCTTCACCTTTCCAGCCTCAGAGAGCCTCTACTTCCGCCCATCCAAGTGCACTTCCGTCGGCGCAGACCAATGGCGTTTTGTTGGCAAAGCACCCTGGGAAATGTAGTGAAATGTTCAAGAGGGAGGGCGTCGCAGTCGCATGTGACGCCATTGTACGGAATATGAACGAAGGTTGCCATTTTCCAGTACGGCTGCAATCCGCTCAGCGGTCTTGTGGAATAAAGCGTAGAGAAAAGCTGAACGTGGCGTGTTTTTCCTCCTTCACTGTGACCTCTCATGTTAGCAACAGATAGAGGAATCCTGAAGCATAAGCGTTGTCCAGAAATAAATAGCCCTTTTCATGATTCTCAAAATGTCCATTTTCATAATAGTTGTTATTTGCTTTTCCATACTCTTTGTCCGACCTCACAGTGGAGTTTTCCAACGGTTATTTGTCCTGTGATAGCAAATGGCTTGAATGTGGGAAGTGCTATGAAGATCCAGCTGTCTTTAGCCAGAACTTTGCAAAAATGTAAAACAATGCCACTCTTCTCACTACATTTGTTTTGGGAGATATAGTAATTATTTATAAAAGGATTGTTTGTGTTTGTGTGTAATATGTGTATTGTTAGCTTCAACGAATTAAGAAATAATTTTCATTCAGTTCTGATTCCCAGTATAGTGATCATCAATGGGTGTAATCCTTTTAAAAGCCTTTTGTGACCCTAACAATAATGAAGAGTGTGTAAAGGGGTCTTGGAACTAAAAGCAAACTGCTGCTATATATATTTATTAAAGAAATGTTTACTGAGTGTTTATTAGTCATCTGGGATTGTGCTGGGTGTGCAGAATTGAGACAACCTTTAAGGTTGACAGGTAACCAGCAATAACAGCAGAGGTTGAATTAGTTTTCTGTAATTAGCAGAACCTAGTGCAGAGATATGAGGAAAGGACTTTTTCAGGATGTGTATTTGTAGGGTAAGTGAAATGGCCAGGTTTTACACCAATAGCCTCTGTAGTTATTACCTGTTGCTTCAAATGCAGGATGTGCTTGTGGGCATTGGTGCAGGGCAGCATGAATGACTGGAATATGGTGTGGGCATGCATAAGTGGACACACTTGATCCTAGAGGCTGAGAAGATAAGGGCAGGGGCACACAGAGACAGAACAGCTACACTTGTCCCCCCACCTGCCTGCCTGCAGGCTTGCCCCCAAACAAATGGTGCACAAAGAGCATTAAAAGCCTGAAAAAGTCACAGAGGGCTCCAGAGCTTGCCTTTATCTGTCTGACCTAATAGAGAACATGCTCTGTGCAGGCTTGAAAAACATATTAAACTTATTTTTAAAAATTTATGTGTAAATAAGATTATATATATATATATATATATATATATATATACATATACTGTATTTTTGTGCAAGTCCAAAGTTTTACTATAATAAAAGTAAACATAAAAAATCAGAATTTTGGAAATCCTTCACTATCTGTTAGTTTTTAAAATACAGTAGAGACTTAAAAATGTGATTAGGGTTCTTACGACTATGTAAGGTAAAGTGAACACCCCCCCATCATTAACATCAATGGTCTTAAAGGCGTGCCTGATGGCGGCACCTGGCACAGGGTGTGGGTGTGGGTCTGCATGAATTGAAGCACCTGAGCAGAGACCTGGCAGCGGCAGATGCTGGTGCTGCAAAGAGCTGTAAAGACCAGTGATGAGACCATGAGAGAAAGCCAGAGAACTCAGAAAGAGCAAAGATTCACCTGGGGCTAGGAGACCTATGAACCTCCTGGCCCTCCAGCCCCACCTCCTTACCTCCTGCCCTGGACCTATTTGCCTCACTTACAAATGGTGTAGAAAGATCATTAAATTCTGAGAAAAGCCACTGAGGGCACCAATATTACTCCTTTACCAATATGCCCGGCACAGGGAACCTGTTCTGTGCCTTGCTGGTACTAAGAAGTCCTGCTAGTTAAATTTTGGTGTAATGGAAAATCTTTGCATGTTGCTGCAAAAAAGTAAATAAATAGGACCTCCCTGATGACATTAGGGGTTAAGCTATCTGCAGCCACTACAGCACAAGTTCTATCCATGGCCAGGAAGCTGACCCACATGGTGCAGCAGACCTCTCCTCTCTCACCCGCTGCTCCCTCAGCAGTGTGTTTAAGTCAATCTGTGTGTTCTGCTCCCCACTCTGTTTCTGGAAATCCTCTCACACACACCCCAACACTGCTGGACTGCATGCTAGCTCTTGTATGCATAAATAAAATCTTTTTATTTTATTTATAAAAAAGTAAATAAATAATGACCTAAAACGTCAGCTAGCTTTACTAGCTGGCAATTTCAGTAGCTAACTTAATGGTTGTGCGTAGGTGCGGCAGCTGTGGAGAGTGTTTTAGATTATTTGACCACTTGAATTCTAATTCTGGCTTTGCCATGTGACTGGTTGTGTGACTTTGGGGCAAATTATTTAATGCTTCTAAGTGATAACATATAAACTTATCTCAGATGTAAAAAATTGGGATAGGTGACTTTTAAGTTTGTTGAGTTTTGTATATACTATAGAAGACAGGGCCTGGCACATTAGCTTAGTGAATATGAGGGACAGTAATAGTCAAGCGACAGCTATGTGCCAATAACTGGGCCCTAGAATCCTACCATTCTGAGGGCCATCCCTGGTGGTACAATGGGTTAAAGCGCAGCACTCATAAGGGCTCAAAAAATGTTGTTATTGTGATGAATATTCTTAATGAAGATCTTAGTTTGATCACTATTATGAGCAATGGCAAGTAGTAAATAATTATTAATACTATTATTGCCTATGATAATATTATTAATAGTGGTAATATTTGAAAAACTTGAAAAACCCCACACCTCCCCAGAAACGCAGAGGTGGGTGGGGGCTGGGAGAGGGAGGATACAGCCATTACTTTGCCCAAAGGAAGAAGCAATCCAGTCTTTTCTTCTTAGAAGAAGCAATACTCCATGGGGCCAGTTTGGCAGATCTTCACTAACAAGGTATTTTGAGATAGGTTGTTGAAAGACAAATAGTTCGTTAAGAGGAAAAACAACAACAACAACAGAAGAGGCTGCAGGACATCATGGAAATACCAGGAGCAGTTTTCGAAATGCCAAGTAATTGGATGTTGCTAAAGTACAGAGCAGGAAGCAAGCAATAGATTTTTACTGATGGTCAATTCCAGGAACCACAGAGATTTTGCCTGAGTTCCATTCTGTCAAAGGCAGACATGATTCTCATCTAGAGGACAGTTTTGTTATTTTGCCAGGGCAAAGACCATATCTGTCCTGTATACAGTTTATAAGGGGTCAGTGAACATCCTGTCATCTTGTGGGTGAATGATTCTCTTTCAGCAATTTATGACCAAAATTTATGATCATTAAATATTGGATAACAGCATCCTGGTGAGTTAAGAGATCTGGAGACTTTTGATTACCTATAGGTTTGATGTGAGAATTAAATCTTCAAATGTTTCTTATAGGAGACTTCATCAAGTTTTACCACTCCGAGGGCCATCCCTGGTGGTACAATGGGTTAAAGTGCAGCACTCATAAGGACTCAAAAAATGTTGTTATTGTGATGAATATTCTTAATGAAGATCTTAGGTTGATCACTATTATGAGCAATGGCAAGTAGTAAATAATTATTAATACTGTTATTGCCTATGATAATATTATTAATAGTGGTAATATTTGAAAAACTTTCATTCATACCCCCCAGATAGGGGACTTATGTTCATTGAAAGAATGGAAACTGACATGATGAATGAATAATGAATGAATTCTTGGCATCATACCAGGCCCTGTGATGGGTTCAGCAATACATAGGAGAGTGGCAAAGGAACTACCTTCTCTCTGCTCTCCTTTCTGAGGGAACAGCTGGGTGGCTTCCTGGTGTGCTCTGCATACCTGCCAAGCAGTAAGGAATTCCCACTTAGTCTGTAGTCTGGGAGCAGGGCAGGATAACAGGGTGGACCCCAGGAAAAGGGGAGGTTTCAGTTTCCCTGCCTCACAGAAAGCCAGGTGGAGCTGAGCAGAAAAGAGAAGCTGGAGAGGAGACTGAAAAAGGAAGGAAGCAGGATGGAGAGATAGAAGGAGACCTGGAGGAGGCATGGGGAGCAGAGAGATGTGTGATGAAACTGTTCTTGCTTTTTGGTCCTGGATTAGTTGGAACAGATGTGGGTGAGACTCATGGGGAAGTAACAATGGCAGCTTTTATTTTTATTTTGACTTTGCTCTTTTCTCCCAAACTTATCTAGCTGTTTCTGACTCTTTTATAAGTCCCTGTTGGAAGGTGCTTTAGACTTGTGCAGGCTTTTGGGCCTTGCTTTGGGTCAATCCTGTTTGGGTGGATTTTACCCACGAGGGGATGGGTAACTTTGGGTGCTTGATTTGAAAACTATATTCTTTGTCTTTTCTGTATTGCACACTAATTTTATTAAAATTCCTTTCCATTAAAGGCCTTATATGTTTTGTTTTGGTGTTGTAGATTGCAGAACTGGGTAAATTTGGGGCTTTGGGGGTGCCACTCTCCCTTCTGCAGGCAAATCTACTGAAATATACTGCTGAGGGGATCAGCCAGTGAGGAGAGGTTTACTGGCCCTAAGGGTTAGCTCCCTGTCAGGGGACTGAATTCAGGCCTCAGTGGCTGGTGATAGCTTGATAGTGCTGAGAATTTAACCCCTGCGTCACCAGGTTGGGCCCTCAATCTTCAAATGTTTCTTACAGGAGACTTCATCAAGTTTTAACCTTCTGAGGGCTCTTCCTGGTGGTGCAATGGGTTAAAGTGCAGCACTATGAAGATATGGGCAACCATTGCAGCACCAGTTTGATTCCTGGCTTGGGAGATGACCCACATAGTGCAGCAGACCTCTCCTGTCCCACCTGCTGCACCCCTCAGCAGTGTATTTCAAATAATATGCCTGTTCTGCTCCCCACTCTGTCTCATTCCCCACACCTCTGACTATACTGTACCCCAGTTCTTATATGCATAAATAAGTACATTTAAAAAAATTCTTTAAAAAAAAGATTTAATGCTCTGAGTATTTACATTTCTAGAT